CCCCCGCCTCTGACGACCGCAGCGCGCCCGGCCGCGCCGCGGCGGGCGCAGCCGCAGCGGCGACGCCGCATGCAGCGCCACCGGGCCCTGGGCCCGCGCCCGGCGGCGCCACGCCGGCGCGCGGCGCTGGCGGCGGCCCGAGCCCGTTCAGCGCGTACAGCGGCGCCGTGGGCGCCAGCGCGAGCGCCTTTTCGGCTTTCAGCTCTCTCGGCAGCTTCAGCCCCGGCGGCGCCGGCGCCGGCTGCCCCAGCGCCGCCCCCAGCCTCGTCAGCGTGCGCTCATTTTCCGGCGGGACGAGCGTCGTCAGCAGCGCCCCCAGCGGCTGCCTGGCCATCGCAGATAGCTGCCTGAGCTCGGGCAGCGGCGGCGGCGCATTCTGGGCGCTGCTGGAGGAGATCGCCCCCCCTCAGCCCTGCGCGCCCGCCGCCGCGCCCGCGGCCCCCGCGGCCGCCGCGGCCGCCACCCCGGCGCCGGCCTCGGCACCGCCGCCCAAGCCCGACGTCGCGGCCGCGTGCCGCGCGTGCGGCGCGGGCGAGGGCGCCTGCGGGTGCGGCTGGGTCCTCCCGCGCCGCGGCGGGCTCGAGGTGCTGGCGGACTACGAGTTTGGCCAGACCCTCGGCCGCGGGACGTTTGGCGTCACCCGCCTCGTCACCGAGCGCGCGACGGCGCGCGCGTGCGCGTGCAAGACGGTCTGCAAGCAGCGGCTCCTCGGCCACCGCCAGTTTGTCGAAGACGTGCGATCCGAGGTTGCGATCTTGGAGCACCTCGCGGGCGTCCGAGGCGTGGTGCAGCTGCGCGGCGCGTACGAGGATAGGCGCGCGGTCAACCTCGTGCTCGAGCTCTGTGCGGGCGGCGACCTGCTGGACCACATCCTGCGCCGCGGCCGCCTGCCCGAGCGCGACGCGGCGGCCGCCGCGCGCGCGATGCTGCTCGCGCTGCGCCGCTGCCACGAGCGCGGCGTGGCGCACCGTGACGTGAAGCCCGAGAACTTCCTGCTTGCGCGGGCCGGGGACGCGGCCAGCGTGAGGATCAGCGACTTTGGGGCGTCGGCGTTCATAAAGCCGGGGCAGCAGTTTGCGGAGATTGTGGGGACGCCGTACTACATGGCGCCGGAGGTCCTGCTGCGCTGCTACGATCAGGTTCGTCGTGCTGCACCCAGGGGCGCGTGGGGAAGGCGTGGCAGGGGAACGTCGCGGCGCCCGGTGCACAGCGCCGCAGCCCTGTGAAGCCTGCCCCTTTCTGCCTGGACTGGCCCCGCCTGCGGGCGCGCCCCCCTCAGGAGCCTCCCGCTCCCTGGCCCCGCAGCGGCCGCCTCTTGACCACGAGGTCCCCTCTGCTTCCGACGCCCCCCCTTTCCCTCTCACTCCAACACCCCCCCCCCCTTGTGCCTCCTCGTCTTCGGATCTCACAGAGCGCCGACATCTGGTCTGCTGGCGTGGTGCTCCACCTGATGCTGACCGGCCAGCTGCCATTCACCGGCCCCTCGGACCGCGCCGTCTGCGCTGCTGTCCTTCGCGCCGACGCGCCCGCCGCCGACGGCCCCGCGTGGGCGGGCGTGTCGGGCGCCGCGCGGGACGTGGTGCGCGCAATGCTCGTGCGCGACCCGCGGCGGCGCGCGGCAGCAGGGGAGCTGCTGGCACACCCCTGGCTGTTGCAGGAGGAGGTTGTTGCGGCAGTCGAGGCGGCGCAGGCGCCGGACGCGGCCGAGCGCCCCCTGCCAGCTCCCAAGGCGCCCGCCGCCGCCTCCGTGGTCGCAGAGGCGTGAGCCCTCGCATGCGGCAGGGGCCGGCTGCAGAGCTGGCGGCCGCGCTGGCAGGCTAGGAGGGGGCTGCCCTGCCGCGCCGCGCCGTGTCGTGCGCGCCGCCCCGCCGCGGGCCCGCAGCCGCGCGAAAGCGCAGGGGTCACCCAATTCGGCACCACCCGGGCAGCCATGGAGGCCCGCCCGCGACAAAAGCTCTCCCCTTGCTCGCCCGCGCACGTGTGGCCGGTTGCACGGCAGGGTGCCTCTCATGCCGCTGGCTCGTCCTGCAACGCCGCTGACTCATCTTCGCTCATCTTCGCTCTGGTTTTAGCACCCAACTCGCTTGCCGCCTTGCCTCAGCCCGCTCGCGGGCCTCGGCATCACGCCGAGGTGCCGCCGGGCTGGTCTGCATCGGCGAGTGCGGCGGGCACGGCGCCTGTGGGGCGCTTTGATTGCTTGACGAATGCCGCTTGAAACTCTGTGGTGGCGGTCAAAGCATAGTCAATGCACGGTCAAAGCACCGCGCCGCCGCCGCTGCGGCGCGTGCAGAGACGACGGCGGGGTGGCGCTCGCGCCCTCCGTGCCACACGCGCTCTCGCGCGCGCGCGCGCGCGGCGCCGACCTTTTGTTTCCCCACGGCGGCGCTGCAGCGCATTAGCGGGTGTCCGTGCTTTCGCACCCGGCCCCAGCCTGCGCTGATTACAACGGATGCCTCCTCCTGCCTTAATCCCCACACCTGGCTGTGGCCCCCCGCCTTCTGGGCGAGCGGCAGCACGGAAATACCCGGGGCACCGGAGGCCGCACCCGCCCGCTCAAAGGCGCAGCGGGCCGACGCACATTCCACGGCGGCCCACACGCGCATACGTTTTCACGCGCACACGCGTGCGCTTGTGCGCAACGAAGGCGCCCGCCTCCGGCCCGCCCCCGCACACGGGGCTGCCGGGGCACCCGCCTCCGAACAGCAGCTGCGCTGCAGCTGCCCTGCGCGACGCACAGCACCATAGAATAGGCAGCGCTCCTGTGAGCGCGCCCGCCGCGGGCGGGGGACCAGGCGCGCGCGCTTGGCCCGCCGCCCGCGGCGCGGCTCGCGCCTCGCGCGGCGCTCAGTTTTGATTGATGACGGCCGCACCTGGACGACCGGGCGGCGCCGGATCTGTCAGCCCGGGGCGTTTCTGGGGGCATCTGCAGCCTTTGATCCTTCGAGCATGATTACTTGTGGCAGGGGCAGAATCACAGGAGGCACTGGGCGCCCAACGCGCGACTCACGGCGCGCACGGCGCCGTGGGCGCCCGTTCCACACACGCCGTGCCCCACGGGCTTTGCACGCGTCACACGTGCGCGAGCGTGCGATGGGGGCCGGGGTTGCAACCGCCCGCGCTGCCCCGGGTGGGGCGCCTTTCCCGCGTCCCTGGCTGTGTGGCGGTCTTCGGGCTACTGCATTCATTCAAACCTGCGCTTCACCGGGGGCTTGTCACACCGCGGCCCCGCGCGGCGCGCACTAAGGGTGCCGTGAGGCCCCCGCCACCGAGCCCCGATCGAGACGCAAGGCGAGGGCCTCGGCGGCGGCGGCAGCCTGCGCAGCGCGCCGCGCGCCGCCCGCCTGCGCGGCGGCGCGCCGCCCACCGATAGGGGAGGGGCCGCGGGGCCGCGTCGTGGGCTGCGGCTGGCTTTCCTGGGCCGCGTTGATCAAGGCCCACCGCCTTTTGTCTGCGACACGGGCTGGCCTCCAAGCTCAAGCACGAGGGGCGCGGCGTGCGCGCCCTTGACCTTGCCGGTTCAAACCTGGTTGTGTTGTGAATGTCATTTGGGGGGCGACTGTCCATGAGAGTGCACGCAAGCGTGTGCCGTTTGTGGCATGTACCGAGCTCTGTCGCGCCGCGTCGGGCGCGCCGCCGGCCCCGCGCCCGCGCCGAGGCCGCCGCCGCGTGCGCCAGCCCCGCGGGCGCGCGTCCGGTGCCCCGGCCGCGGCCGCCTTGATCTGCGGTGGTGCGTGCGCCGCGAAAAGCTGTCGGCCCCATTCTGCCCCGCGAGCCGCGTGGCAGCGGAGAATTATTTGAACCATTGCTGCGAAACGCATGCACAGCCCTGCCCCGCTCTGAACGTCTGCAGCCGCTGCGCGGCGGTCGAACGATGCGACATCCTCTTTGGACGCTTCGCCCCGGGGCCCCCCTTTGAGGGGCCAAGCACTCGCTTGTGTGCAGTCACTGCTCAAACGTGTGGTGCCTGCCTCACTCGGCGCTGTGTAGCTGGGGTGCCCCGGGGCGAGCGCCCTTCGTAGCAACAGCGCCAGATGCTTGTCCTCGGCGGCAAGCCGCAGAGCCCGCCAGTTGAGATGAAGGCGAAGGGTCAGACCTCTGTACGGCTGGCTGCGTTTCTGTGCGGCCCAAACAACACATTCGTCTGTGCGTGTGTGTCTTCTGTGCTATGAGGGAGGTGGCGCGGCGCATTGACACGCGCTGTGTCGTGCCTGGCCGTCGCATCGACTTGCATCTCTTACTTGCGCCGCGCACGGCGACAACGGGCTTGAGGCGGCGATTTGTTGGATCGAAGGCTGGATCAGGGCAGCCCTCTAGTAAAGTTTGTGTGTGCATTGGTCAACAGTAACCTGTGCCGCGCTCCTTGGTTTTGAATGGCGGGGGGAGGGGGCAGAGCGAGCACCGGCGGCGCGCCGTGCGGGGGCCATCACGCGGTGGCCACAACGACCAGCTACCCATTACTGCCATGGTCAATGAAACAGGCGAGGGGTGTGCTCAAAAGCAGGCGGCGGTACACGTCGTGGTGCATTAGCCAACGCATCAGCCATCCTTCCTTTCAGAGCCGACCTAAGCAGGCTTGCGGGTATGTGTGTGATACTCACAGCAATCAAGGTCTGGAAATAAGCAAACGCCACTTCTATGATATCCTGTACACTGGACACAAATCAGCCGTACCGTGCGTTGCATGCACTGCGGCTGCAAGCGCCCCGACGCGGCCAGCAGAAAACGCGCGCTGCGGTCTCAAGCACCCTGCTGGCCACCTGCGGTAGTGCGGCCCCGACTATTGGGACGGCGCCCACGGCGGCGGCCGAGCGGGCGCCTTGGCGGCGCGCTGGTGCAGCATTGTGTGCTCTGGCGGGATCCAGCGGTCTGGCGTCGTGTAGAGGGGGGAGGACGTGCAGCAGCGCAGGGGGTGGGTCTACAGGACAAGTTGAGGTGCAGAGGCGTGTGTGTCGGGCCGCCAGCTGGCGGCTTCTTGCCCACTGCACTGCACGTTGCGCGCAGGCGGCCGCGGCCGCGTCGCTCACGGACGACCAGAACAGGACGGGAGTGCACGGCCGCAGCTTCACGCTGCACGCGTGCGCGCGGGCGGCTCACCAGTGGTCGCACCCAGGGTGAAGAAGCTTGTCTGCCGGGGCGCGCGTATAGACAGCAGGACCAGTTTGATGGAATTGGTCCGTGCAAGCACAAGGGTCGCGAGCATGGACCAGCTCTCTGGATTCCCTACCCTTGTTCACTTAAGGCTCTCAGACGCACGTTCCACCGCATTCATCTGCTCGCCGCGCACACACGGCCGCACGTCGGTCGTGCGGCCCGCCCCTGCTCCGTGCACGCTCCCCTCCCGAAAAAAGAAAACACACCTCAGCCTCGAGCTCTCGCCGCTCGCGCTCCCTATCCCGCCGCCCTTCCTCCGCCCGGCCGCGCTCATGCTCCTTGATCATCTGCACATTGGCAGCCTGGGCCTCCTCTGCGTGCCGGCGGGAGCGCTGTGCCTCCTGCAGGACACCGTCGGGCGCGCGCGGAGTGGTACCGGCGCATCAGGTGGTGTTCATGGCTGCCGTATGGCAGCGGCTACAGTCAGTATATGTATGCGCTGCGGCATGTTGGCAGGGAACACCAACACATCGTCGCGTTGCCACAGGCGCCTAGTGGTAAAATGCGAAACGCTCACCAGCTCTGCAAACGTGGGGCCGCCAGTTGCGGCCGACCAGCAAGGAATAGCTGCAGGCCCACGGCCCTGTTGCTGTGCGGGCGACGCCCTGCGAGCCTGCCAGGCGCCGTCCTCCCTCGCCAGGCGCTCCCTGACAAGCGTGGTGCGTGCAAGCCGCCAGGACGGGCATCGGCGAAGCGGCAGTGAGGGGCGTCTGCAGCTACCCTGCAAACTGGAGCCTCGCCCTCTCGTGCCTAGCCTGCAGGTCTGTGTCCTGCATCTTTCCAGCGAACCAGGCAGCTGCGGCCCGCTCGGCCTAAACACCCCGTGTGTGCAGGCACTGGCACAGCCCACCTTTCCGCGCTGCGCGCAGCTATGAACGCCTCTTCCTGGGCTCGCAGCTCCGCTTGGCGCCGCAGCTTGTCCTCGCGGTTCGGATAGAGCGCTGACATCAGCTGGGCCTGGACGTTCGCCTGCTTTTGCCGCCGCACACTCCACATCTCCTGGAGGGTTGGGAGGGTTGGATCGAAGCAAGGGAGCGGAGGTCGGGCGGGAGGGTGCAGATGGGGCATTCGTGGCAGATGCTCTAGCATGACGCGGGTCCATTGGGTTCTCTGCTGTGTCGCCGCTTTGGCTGTCGCCTTTTGGTGGTATATCGCTGCGCATGCGCGCATGCAGGTGCAATGCAAGGGTGAAGCTCTGCTTTGGGAGTGCATGCCTGAAGCTGCGGCCTCGCTGCGCACATGCGCACGCGTGTGCAGCAGCCATTGCGCGCAGGGCCAGCTTCACCTGCTCTTTCTTGTGTTGTTTCTCATCCGTTGTAGCAGTAGCTCCTTGAAGAAGCTGCTGCTTCACAGGCCTCAACAGGATACCCCGCTTTGGCAAATAGTCTGTGAACGGCTCCATGGATGCTCTTGCGGGAAGGACTGGGCTGAATACTGCGACTATATTGACTCGTGTGATTGTTCGCGAAGGCCTGCGATGTCGATTTGGAGCGCACGGTGTGCATAGACGGAACTGCTCTTCAGCGGGTTTTTGCCACTCATGCCAAGCCTGTTCGTGTTTGAGGGATGCTGCGTGATGTTGCAGCTCAATTGAGCTGAAAAATTCTCGTGAATCTAAACGTGTCTTGGTCGACGTCGGCAGCCTGCCGCGTGTAGTCCTCTTCCATGTGCTGCGCCGCTTGGTCAACACTGCGGCGGCTTGAGCTGCCGCACGCACTCGACACTAGACGTATGTTCTCTGATATAAATGTGCGCAGTCACTGAAGATATGAATTTCATACACGTCAATTGTTGAGTGGCTCTCTGTGCTCTCATGTCACTCTGCGCCTTGCCATATGCCAGGATGGTCGCCGCAACATCCTGTAGGACTAAGGACCCTACACACAGTCCCCTCATGTATCAGCAGCACCACACCAGATTGCTATTTGTTGCACAATAATGTCTTTTCCGCTCGGCACCAGCTGGCAAATGGCGCGCAACATCGGCATAGCCTCCCTTGCTGCCCCTCGAAGAGCTCTCTTTCGGAGCGCCTTCAGCGAGGCCATAGAAGGACAAACATTAGCATGCCTTGCATGTGCTACTAAAGGGCGACGCAATAGAGCCCGCATCGGCGATCTGCGCACGATGGCGCCGGCGCATGTGATTGGGCGCTGTCATGAGTGAGGGCAGCGACAAAGGGCCACTCACAGTAGGAAGTAATGGCAGGCCACGCTGATGCTTTCTCTCGTCTGCCGATTTCGATGACAGACTGAGTTGTAGTACGATCCGGTCATGCTGCAGTTCAAAGTCCGCCGGTGATCGGTCACTGAGTGAACTCCTTATTCGTCATGTTTGAAAAGTACGGCTGATCGCAATACGTCCTTCGCCTCGACGAGCGTGGGCCAGGCGAGTGCAACGCTTGTTTCCTTTCCCTCAGAACAGCTGCAGCAAGCCGCGTGGTTTGACTGAAACATGAAGAAAGAGAACAAGGTGGGTCTGACTACGATCAAATGCTGAGCATCAACACCCACGCTGTGCGGGGAGACGCCCGCCGACACGCCCAGGCTGACCGCCCGCGTCTTCAATGCTGAATAGCTTCGCACCGCCATCCTGGCTCGTCTCGCCAGGCAGGCAATCGCCAGGAGTTACTGGCCGTCGAGGGCCTGACACTGTCACCGACGCGCGTTGCGGCGCTCGTGGTCCTGTCAGTCTTCAGCGGCGGCGGGCTCCTGCTGGCGCTGCTGTGGCTGCCCCGCCTGCGCCACTCGCTGCTGTATCAACGCTGCCCCTGCCTAGAGCGGGCGCCCTTTGTGAGATTTCAGGTGTGCCGCATAGCGGACAAGAATGCCAGGCAAGCTTGGTGAGGTGCTTAAGCGCTGATATGATGTCAGCACAGGAAGGGCGGAGGCAGGATAAGCAGGGGCACACTCGTACACCGCCAACCGTCGATGGCCCAACAAACCCCAAAATTCGACGCAATTCGCCCTCTGGCCCCGCACCTCACGTGTGTTGCAGTTGCGGGATGGCCGCTTCGGCGTCGTGCGAGTGCAGCAAGCGGCCGTCGGCGGCCCTGACGTCGCCGCGCCGCCGCTTCGCGTTGCCGCGTTCCAGCACGCTCGATACGTCCTCACCCCCGCGCCGGGCGGCGGCGCGGGCGAGCGCGCCGAGTTTGTCCGCGTGCCGCGCGTGGCGCCAGAGGTGGCGGCGCGGCTTCCAGCCGTCGCCGCAGCGCTGCGTGCGCACCCCTGCTCCCTGCCGCCGCTGGTCCATGCCAATGCACCTGCGCGCGACGCCGTGGCGGCGCGTTACGGGCCAAACCTTATGGTGGGCGTTGGGAATAAACGACCTTGTGAGCGGGGCGGCAAGTCGCGCGTGCGCCTGCACGTGGACCCAGCAGCGTGGCGGCTTGATGTGCCGCAGGGCTTCCCTCTGCAGCCGCCAGTACAGCATTCAGCTTCGAGCGCCCCGTCCGCAGGCGGGCGCAATCGTCCCAGGCTTGCAGGGGTGCAGCGGGCGGGTCGCATATTGTGGCTGATGCGCATTCAAACCGCCATCAAACAACCTTATTGAGGCAATGCGCATTCCCAAAGAGGACCTGGTCAACCTTGCACCTGCCCCTTGGTCCCCCCACATATTCAACCTCGTCATACATCCCCTCTCCTTGCAGCCCCCTCCCCTTGCG